AGCGTGCTGCGTGTCAAGCGTCGCATCCTGGGAGAAATCTGCATGCACCGGTATGCTGTGAAGTATGGCTGCGCTTTCCAGGCCTCAGTCATACTGTTAATCAAATTGGCTGTTTACGAGCGTCCAGATAGCGCGCCGCGTGTCAAGCGTCGCAACCTGAGAGAAATCTGCATGCACCGGTATGCTGTGAAGTATGGCTGCCCTTTCATATCCAGGGTTCTACCGCATCTGATCTGTCTCGATAAGCGGTACGGCTTGGAATGAGACAACACGACAACGCCCGAAAACGATGCCTAAACGGAACGAAATGGAAACGCACATCAAAGGGTTTTGAAACGTTTCCGTTCTCGTGCAAACGGTGAAAACAGTGAAAACGATTGAAAACAAGCGCGGACATGGAAACCATTCCGCGCAGGACTATATTTCGCGGGAAATACCCAACCCTTACAACCACCAGCACTTACCAATTCCAACTAACGTGCTACTACCCGCCCTTGCGCCAAGCCAGCACGTGATAACTCCACTCTCCAGGCCGCTAATCGCCCGTTTTTCGTTTTCGTGTAACCGGTTCAAAACAATTTGCCGTTCTCGTATAAACAGTTTGAAAAGGATTCGAGGACAGCCCGTTTTCGTTCCGTTTCGTTCCGTTTCATTTCGTCTCCGTGTAAACGCAGCCCTCAAGCTGCGTTAACGAGTATGTATGCTAAGTGTATCTGGGGAATGCATGCAGCGCAGGGCGCTAGTGCGGGTTCGAATCCTAGGTCTTGAAAAAAATAGGAGAAATGAAAAAATTATAACATCCGTGTGCTTTCTTGCCTAGGTCATCAATGTGGTTGACGGTGTCGTGTTACCCTCGAATGCAAAGAGAATGTTTATTTCTTTCGCTCACGGCCCTACGCTATGCTTTTTTGTCTGGCTCATCATGAATGTTGTTCGAATAGATGGAAACTGCCTGCAATACAACGATGTAGCCGATCAGTTCGTTGTGGCATGGTTGGGAATTGTAGCCATTATTATTTTTCTGGTTTTAGAGTTCATATCGGAACAGCCATTCTGTAATTCAAAGGGAGCCGTCATGGTCGACATAAAACACTATTTACAATACACAAGCTCGGGGAGCAAAAGTCTCTCTGTCCCATAAGCTGCCACATACCAAGTAAATACAAACCCATGCACTTTACATGAGCTAACTGTTACTTGCAAACGTTGCCCTTTTCACGAACCCAGACAAAGGGATTAGTCTATTTCAATTTAACCAAGAGTACTCTTGTTATAACACATGTGCGAAGTCACTAGATTACACATGCACCAGAGATGAAGGCGACAGCGCCAGACATCAATACGGTGTTGTACGGTATAAGGATGGCGTATAGCATGTCGTACAACAGTACGATGAAATCGTGGGAGAAACCAACGACCACTTAAGCGCTTGGGAACGATTAACATTGCAACAGTCTTATTGTGAGTGACAGTCAGGCTGAGTTTCCGAAGATCAGTAGCGAGTGCTATCCCGAGGATTATGTTAGCATTACAAAAGCATAGACAGGATGCGTATTACAGGAGACCCAAGTTGCTGAAGACCAGTAGTCATTGCTGATAGCGTGCAGAAAAACTACATCTGCAGCTTATTTTGCCGTCGGACAGGATGCGTATTATAGGAGACTGTAAAGTTATGTAATGTGCTCCACAGGCAACCATGCATTCGGCCATCAGCAACAGTTAAGCACAAGCACACTATCAAGGTAAGGACATTATTGTATTTTTGTATTGTATCGTATTTTATGGAATCTAATTTTACCCCATTGGCTCAACAGGTCAATGTATTACTACAAAAAGCCAGAAAATCCGATTATAAGGAGATATAAAGGAAAAGAAGGAGCAAACCAAAACTAGATGAAGTGAGAGAAAAATAACAATCCGCAATAAATTCTGCAAATGCTTTTGCCTAACTCATATTCAAACTGATTGAAACGATTTTGCAATACAATGATTTAGCCAATGAAAGTAAAAACATTTTCATCAGTTCTAATGACATGCACGATGAACTAGGCAAAAAAAGCATAGCGTAGGGCCCTGAGCTTCCAAGCTCTCTCGTTTAATCCACGCGTCGTATACTTGCAACTGATTGATCGTAATAGAAGGAGTGATAGAAGAGGCGGTTTGAAAACCGATAACCGCACTGTCCAGTTGCTATTCATGATTCTCTCCGCTGCATTGGTTGGTGGGCATTAATTGTAGATGTACTCAATCTGCGGACAGAACTGTTTCGACCTTTGCGGGCTCATCAGATAATGAGGCCGAACCTTATAGCAATGAAAATAAATCTTCCAAAACCTGATGTAATTGTAGATGTGAAAATATGAAGTTTCGGGCCAGTCGCCCATCAACAGAACAATTTACTAGGGGATGGGTGACTGTCTTGAAACGTCATAACTTTTACATCAACCATAAAAGAATTTCCATTTGCAGCGCATGGGTAGATCTTGAATAGCAACTAAATAGAGGGATTATCAGTTAATAAAACTCTTTTTTTCTATACTGCTGGTGCGTGATAACCATAAATTCTTTTTAGACTTCATTGAAATGAAGTCTAGAGTCAAAGGGACCAGTAAGCTACGAGTCATGATTAACGGTGCACCAAGGCGACGAGATATTATACAGTCTGATAGTGCGACAACAGGCAGGCACAGTGGTTTGGTCAAAGACCATCATTGAGATACAAGAGGTACCTTGTTCAAGTCCTGCCTGGGAGCGGTTTTCCAGCCGTGCTGCTACCAGAGTCAACTGGGAACTTGTGACCAGGCACGAGGGGTACATGGATGCAGCTAATGGGGTTTCTCGGCACTTATGCCAGTGGTTGTGAAACTTATCCACTCATCCCCATTGCTGCATCTGCCGCTAGGGTTTAACAGTTTGCTAGTGGCTGTAGTGAGTTCCCTTTGGGAACGGACACGATAATGTACTCATTTTAGTGCGACAACAAGGCACCACACTGACAAGGACAGTGAAATATTCAACGACCTAACACCTAGCTAGGGTTTATCGGGTGTTAGCGGCCGTCGTGAGTTCCCCTCTATAACGGATACGATAATTTACTTTATTCCCGTAGCTATGCAGAAGACGTTACTTCAGTAACGCTTGGCGCTAGCCAGGGTCCACACAGCTTTAATTTGGTAATTGTGTGTTTGTTTGTTTGTTTGTTTGTGTCACGCCTGGCGCTATCCCGTATCTGACGGCAAAAAAATCATAGGGATGTTATAAATTTTTCAGTTCTCCTATTTTTCAGGCATATCCTGGGATTCGAACCCGCACTATCGCCCTACATGCATTCCCCCATACACTTCGCATTCATACCCATTCTTCCAAGTTGCTTCACGTTATGATCTTGCGTTTGAAAGCCCTATTTGAATATTGCGGCCAGCTGTATGTGGCCAGCTGTGTTTGATGGTACGGTACGGGAGACGGTGTTGTATTACCCTCGATCGTACCTGTCCCGTACCTATCCCTACCGTACCGTACCATCAAAGACGGCTGGCCACAATGCATATTCAAATAGGGCTTTCAAATGCAAGATCATAATGTTAAGCAACTTGGAAGAATTAGTATGTATGCGAAGTGTATCGGGGGATGCATGCAGGGCGCGATAGTGCGGGTTCGAATCCCAGGTTATGTCTTAAAAAAAGAAATTGTTAAAGAATTTTATAACATCCCTATGCTTTTTTTTGTCTAGGTCATCAAGGCAAAAAAGCATAGCGTAGGGCCCTGAGCTTCCAAGCTCTCTCGTTTTTATTTTTTAACACCTAGCTTTTACACATCTAACAAGCGCAAACCAACTACCTACCAACTTGGAAGGCTCAGATGCGGAGAGTTCCAAGGAGAGAAATTCTCTCTCCCATTTCTCTTTGCTTGACATCTACTGTATTGGCTGAACATCAGAGTTTTAAGAAGTAAAGGGTGAGAATGATTTTATAAAATCATTCTCATTCTCAATGCATATAATGCATTCATCCACAAGATAATCAGGGTAATGTGCAGTGCAGGCACAGTGTCCAGCGCAAGCGCAGTGTCCAACGCACGCGCAGTGTGCACCACATGTGTAGTGTACAGCGCACGTGCAGTGTGCAGCGCACGCGCAGTGTGCAGCGCACGCGCAGTGTGCAGCGCACGGGCAGTGTGCAGCGCACGCGCAGTGTGCAGCGCACGCGTAGTGTTCAGCGCGCGCCTACGGAATTAATTTATAGAAGACAGGTGCGTACATGTACTTGTACATGGCCGTCTCAACGTTCCTGGACGGCAGCCTTCAAGACAATGTTGGAACCAACGACCGGGAAACTCTGGATTTCCTCACAACCCCATCATCCCCCCCCCCCTCCCCCCCCCCCCCCCCTCTTCCGCCGGATATCGAGAAGTTACAAAACAAGAAAACGACGAGGCCGAGGTGGCAAGGCAAAAGAAGCAGGCGCGTCGGAACGACTTTGGAAGTGGGGCGGCCATGGAAGGGGGGTCGGGGGTCCTCCCCCGGGAAAAAATTTCAAAAATTAAAGCCAATTGCAAGCATTTCCGGGCATTTGGTGCCATTTCAGTGTACGGTAACTACAATGAAAGACTTTTTGATTCTGCAAAAAACCAAGAAGATGCTACGATCGGGGACAAACATAACCCTCCCCCGGGAAAAAATTCAAAAATTGAAGCCAATTGCAAGCATTCCCAGGCATTTGGTGCCATTTCAGTGTACATGGACTTTTGATTCTGCAACAAACCACGATCGGGGACAAGGATTTGCCACGTTTGCGCTGAGATCATCGCGCTTTGTTGCAGTGTGCTAAAAAAAAAAAAAGGCCGAAAAGTGGGGCGGCCATGGCCGCCCCGACCGGTGCGGTTCCGACGCCCTTGAGAAGGTAAACATTATGAAGCTCTCAGAGTTCTTGGGAACTCGTGCCACAACAATACAACATGGACGTCATTGATTTTCGATTTCTAACAGTTCAACACACACGTACCTGCGGCAATGAGGACAAGAACTGAGTAACACCCTGGACGAATTCGTGAATCTCCTCTGCAGCTGGTCGACGGGCCGGTGGGTCAGCAAGACAGCGTCTCACTAGGTCCTTCAGCGGGTGGCCGTCAGGGATGCGAGCAAACTCCGCGTGTCGCCGCTCCAGCTCTGGTATAGCGACGTGGCTGCCGTCAGCTGCCTGGCGCGATCTTGGTGCGAACATGAGCTCAATGGAGGGCATCACACCGCTCAGCACGCTCATTGCCGTCACTCCGAACGAAAAGACGTCAAGCGAAAGATCGTACCTTGCCCGGCCAGATTCCGTCTCTTGCAACGCCTCTGGCGGCATGAATAACTGTGTACCAGGCTGTTGGGTCATGGACTGAGCGGCTTCACGGAACTGATCGGCAACGCTAGGCAGTAGCGTGGAGAGGCCTAAATCCGTGATTTTGGCCACACCATTGTCAACGAGGACATTGCTTGGCTTCAGGTCGTGATGCACCATCGGGATGGAGTGCAAGTAGTGAAGACCTGCAGCAGTATGTTCGATGTAGCGAATCAGCTGAAGCAAGTCCTGTCTGCGTGCACCAACGCTCATTGTTTCCAGTGTGTCGGACATAAATTCCACCACGATGGCTGGAGTTGTTCCGACCATGCCCACGCCGAAAATTTGACACAGATGCGGGTGGCGAAGACGTGCCATGCGTGCAATCTCTGCTCCAAAATCATGCAGTACGACGTCGCGTCCTTGGTTTCTTCGATCAATCAGGATAGAATGAAGTGCCTTTGCGGCCACCTTCAATCCACACCATTTAGTCTTGTAAACTACAGCAAATGAGCCACGACCCAACTCATCCTCTGTTTCATTCACGTCCAATGTACCCAGATAGGGCACTGCAGGCTCGTTCAAGCCCAAAGCGGTGAACACCGCATTCTCCTCAGCGGCCATAGCAGCAACTAGCGCACCGCCGACCACTGGCACTATAGAATAATTGTAAACGACCAGGGACAAAGACTTGAGAGAGACGAAAACACAGTAATGGACGAAGGACGATCGTGAAGTGCGACACCTACTACAGACTGTCAGTCTACTACTAGTAGTAGATCTACGTCAACACCAGTGAATCGGAAAGGGCTTTTACGAATCCCTGGTCAACACGGTTGCTGAAGTACTACCGTCCGGCGACAGACAGATTATGACTCATTCATTTTGACGGTGTTTTCCATGGTTTAGTGATCCCATTAGTACTGACTGTCTGTACATCACTGATCACGCCGGGAGTCGTGTAGATCCCAGTAGATCTACTACTAAGGACTACAAATGAACAGTTATGTCATGTAGTAGATCTACCAGATCTACTGTCGACATGTCTGTAGACTCTGTACACATGTACGGATCTCACGGCTTTACGTGAACTCTGCCATCACTGAAGTCACTGCATTGCCGTCACTGGCGTCAGGTCGGGCCGTCAGTACCGTCACCAACACCTTATCTATGGTTCGAACTCACCCCTCCGCCTTTGCCATGCAAGTCGCGCTGTAGACAGCGGAAATGAGACGGCTGAGCACGAGCTACAGCCAGGGCCAAAGGCGTGAACAGGCTAGCGTCTAATAGTAGCGATCCAGTGCAGCCAGTTCATGGTCTGTCATGATGAAAAGCGGTTGGAGGCCCTCTCAACCACGTGCAAGCAAAAAATGTGTCCGACTTTTCTGCCAAATATCCACCATTCAATTCTTGGCTGACCATTCGTACAAGAAAATCGCCCCAGATTTGTCGAAAACTTGCACTCTAACACAGCATTCCGGGCAATTATTTTCGCCCCGATCTTGAGCCGATGAGGATTTCCCACGCTGGCCGAAAAATCTCTCTGGCGTGGACCAGACATCAGACCAGGCATCAGAACCGGGAAACTGAACGCACCATTGCTAGCAGTAGCAGATATCCGTGCTAGGCATGGGCGGGTGATGGTAGCATTATGGCTGGCATTAAAGTCCCTTTTTTCCAGGTGGCATAATGCTGGCATTATAACACCATTTCGCATGCAAAATTAGCATTACAAGCATAATTGCCGGTCGACAACGGTGTCATGCATGAAGCTGGCTAGGTCCAGTTCCGAAAATCGTGCATCTGAACTCGTCTGGCTTCGTCCCAAGACTTGACTTTGCAAATCAACCTTCTGACTGGATTGTTTCAGACAACATGCTCACTGCTGTGAAGTTGATTGTTCCAACTAGGAACACACGCTAAGTTCGTATGCTCACTGCTGTTTTTAAAGTTTTTCTCTTCTACGCTTTGGCCTTGATCCAAGACGGCCTTCTTAAATCGACTTTTCCAACTTTCAAACTGGCATTATGGAGGAGTGTGAGCATTATTAGTGACATTATATCCTCATATTATTTAGAAAAGCGATCCTATCAGCTTTTCTATTATTGTGTTCACACGGTAAGACCTAACGAAACCGCAATTGAGACACGTTGTCTACGTAAGGTGATTGGTACCTGGACCATGCATGTACTTCATTCCAACCATCGCGTGGTCGGCCGCGTGCGTGTGCAAAACTGTGCATGGCAGACATGTTGCAGCCTTTTCGGATGTGCATGCACGAGGAACTTCCTTCTTTGGAACTGCTTCTTGCATGAGATGGTTCGGATATTTTGTCTCCTGGCCTGGCTTATTTCGATGGCGCTGCTGAGACCTCCTTTCACTGAATATTACTCAATGACGGGCGAGTTGGCCAGTTCCCTTTGATTCATTTGCTTTTGTTGACTTTTTCATTTTACGAAAAGTGTGCTGATTTTAGGTGCAATGCAATAAATAATGGAAAAGCTGACAGGATCTCTTTTCTAAATTTAGCTTTTCCGCTCTCGAGGCCTCCTTAATGACAGGTGATCTCTGAGTTGACCAGTTTCCTTCGATTCATTTGCTTATGCTCACCCTTTTATTTACGGAAACGTGTGCTGATTATATTAAGATTTAGATCCATTCGCATCTCTTTGCCCTTGCCCACAGTGTGCGAAGAACGCGAGTTCACCTTCTTGACGATAAAGCTTATGATGCTGCTGAGGCTTAGATGTGTTGTCGAAATACTCATGTTCATTGTACATTGGTACGTTACAAGTAAGGCACTGGTATTGCTTCCGGCATTCCTTGCCCCGATCATGGAGTAGAATCTGAATTTTGCAGTGGCATAATATCTTTGGCAGTTCCCAATCTGGAGGGAAAGGTTCAAGGACGCATTGACCGAGCATGCAAAATAAATTCACGTATCAGGGAAAATCTTCATTATGGAGAGGTTCAGTGACTTGTTTGCTTCATACGAAACAAGCCAATGGGTGCAGTCTCGTCTCGTGTTAATCTCGTACGATTGGATTTGTTTAGTCTGGGCTGCTTGATTTGTGAGTAGCCCCGAGATTGCACTGCCCCAAATAAAATTGCATGCCGGCAGATCAAGAATTACGATCTGCAATCTGTTTGTAGTACCTGCAAGAATGTGCTGTACATGTATCGCATTTTCTCTGTTGTTGTTTCAGTTGCCCTCATGTTCCTAAAGAAAGGTTCAGTGACTCATTTGTTTCATACAAGACGATTCAATGATTCGGTCTGGCTTAGAATCTGTCGCTCTAGACGAAATCCATTCGTATCTCTATTGGAGAAATCATTATATTCACTGGTTATAAAATAGGGTTAAGACAAACATACAGAACAAATACCATCGGTCCCTTGATGTTCGTCCTAAAGAGGTTCGACTGGATATCATTCATCCTCACCAAAATATGTGTAACATTTTATTATTATGGAGTGCCTTGTTTATCTCCCAGTACCTCCAACCATATATCCTTGCCCCTTGTATCCTCAGGATCAGTGTAGTAGTTGGAACGAGGTGTCAGACTCAACAATGTGTTTGTTTACATTTTAATTCATGTTTATTGCTCCTACTTTGCTGTGTTGTTTTAGACAATCGTGGACTACCACTTTGAAGTCATTGAACTACTTCCAAAAGTTATATCGACATCAACAGGATTACTATTTCAGTACAATATGATGCAGGATGACCTTACCACGACAACTAAACCCATAGCTACTTCAGAAGTACAATTATATACACAGAATCAACAAAAACATCTGCGACACGCACCTGGTTACATTTCTCAAGTAAATCTGATTGAGGGTGGGGAAATCTGAATTATCTGAAAGACAAGACAATTTTATGACAGAGTCATGAAATTCTGCAACGGCAACATCCACAGAATGACCTGAATATTTAAAAAAAAGTATCACCACCACTACCCATTTGTTTCCCCTGCAGAAGAACATGATTATACAATACGAGTCAAGTGCCATTTTCTGCAAGAAAAGGCTTGCCCATCAATGCGTCTAATACGGTATTGATGATGTAGAGGCCCTCATTTAGGTCATTCCATTGGGGACATACTACATGATTGCAGTATTATAAGATATCCTTAGCTAAAAAAACAAAAGAAATTATTGCCCCCCCCCCCACTGAATAGATGTAGTATTATCACCCTTTCTTTGTTTCGATCTTGTTCAATTTCTTTCACTTATATTTGTCCATATAAGATAAGTTCAAGTAGCTCCCATTCCTTTGTTACGTAGATTCACTGATGATTGTAACAAGAAAACAGTTCTGAAGGAATCCTCGCTTTCCCTTCCTTGTGTGCCTTGCGATAATCGTACAATATTTTACAATTACATGTCGACATAATATATGAAATGCTTACTGTGCAATTAGTTGTCTTTGAAGCTATATTATATATTTATTACAACATCTCAAGACTCGGTGGAAACACCGGCCAATGTGAAGAGAGTGGTTGATTGCCAACCACGGCGATAAATAAAAGTAAGGGGAGATATTAAAAGAAATTATAGCAATAAAAACTGCTTTATGGCAGCTTTCTAAAAAACGTTATTCTGTTCTAGTCCTGGGTGGCGTGGGTGCTTCCCCTTTAGAAAATGTATAAAATTGCTTTCCAAACTGCCTTGGACTCCGTCTAAAAAGTAAGAAATTAACAAAATGTGATTGCCGAAAATAAAAATTTCACACAAAACCTCACAATAATCACACACAGGATGTAAAAGCTAGAAGACCTTTTCCCCCGTGATCCTCTTTCCCATGCATGCATGTTGGTGCAGTAGAAGTGTTGAAAGCAGTATTTCAAGTGTTGTGATTATTGTGAGGTTTTGTGTGAAATTTTAATTTTCGGCAATCACATTTTGTTAGTTTCTTACTTTTAAGACGGAGTCCAAGGCAGTTTGGAAAGCAATATTATTAATTTTCTAAAGGGGAAGCATCCAGGACTAGAGTTTTTATTGCTATAATGAGCATTGCCTTTAGCATTACGGAGGATTAGCAAGACGAAATTCGCGTTCTCGTTCGCAAACATTTTTCAGTTCGAGAACTGGATTGCGAACTTTCGCATTTTTCGTTCGGAAAAGTAGTCGGAACACGAATCGCGGATTCGTGTCAGGGCAGTCATAAATTTACCATGCTGTACTGTCTGTACACAATGGACGTCGTGTCAACGTCATGCATGTGCGAATTCTGTTTGATAATCCTTCTCATAACGCGAATTCCGTCACTGAGTTTTACTTTCCTTGGAGAGCGAAAGCAAACGCAAATTTCGTGTTGCTAGTCATCCGTATTATCGCAGCAAACGAGAGAGCTTGGAAGCTCAGGGCCCTACGCTATGCTTTTTTGCCTAGCTCATCCTGCATGTTATTAGAACTGATGGAAATGTTTTTTCCTTTGATTGGCTACTAGCCTTTAAGGTGCTCTTCTAATTCGCACTTAGTGCTTTTTGCGTCCCTCAAAATATGCTGAAAAAGTGCTCTTTTCTCAGTGAAAACAGGCAAAAAGTGCTCTTTTTTCAGTGAAGCATAGCCATGATCCATGTTCAGATATCAACCCGAGCTGATAAGTTGTTGGTTGGTTGGTTTTTATTTCACTTCGCACATTCAAACGGGATGACGACCCAATAAAATGACGGCGAAGGCTTAGCCTAGAAGTGGCTATGAAAGAACAT